CCCAGTTTTGTTTATTTTGCCAAAACTGGTTACGAGGTGTTAGCTTTTGTGGTTTTTCAATCTGAAGGCGTTTAAAGCATTTGGCTTCCCTGCTCGCACCTCTGCCTAAGAATAAAGTTACGCCTTCATCGCACATATAACCCCCGTGTTTACACGGGGTCTTTTTGTTGTTCGCTGATTTATACTGAAGTGTGTACTGTAGAAAGACCATCGTGGTGCGTGTCACTCGTAGCAAAGTCATCTCTGTGGAATGAGTGTGATAAGGCAGGAAAACCCCTCGTCAGGCAGCAGGAGGTTCGGCTGTGTGGAACCAGGGAAGGTCACCTCAGGCCACTGGCTGTGATTAGCTGGTCAGATGTCTCCGAGTGGGTCCAGCAGTGCCACTGTGTGCTGGTGGCTCTGTGGAGAGAAGTGCTCCACACTGTATGCGTGCTGTATGGTGTGTGTGTGTGTGTGTGTTTTGGCTTAATGTAGGCTAGACTCTGGCTTTTCTTCTTCCTGGCACGGCCCTGACTGTGTTTCCCCTGCTCAGAGCTGGCAGTCTAGACTTCCATGAATAATGAAAGCAACGCTCTTCCCGACGTTAAAAAAACGTCTAATCGCCTCATTTAAGGGCAGCATCAAAAGCTACGCCAGAGATCGTTTTCTCCTCCAGCCCATTCACTTTTCTCACGTCTTTCATTTGCTCGTTGTTCCAGGCGTCAATTTCTTGTCTTTAAAAGTCCAGTGTGTGAGAAACAACTTTCCTCAGTCACAAAGACAGAGAAGTGATTTATAATTGGTGTGGATTTTTTTTTGTTTTGGTTGTGGTGCCTAATTGCTGCGCGTTGATGGTAGAAGTCTGCTGTAATCGAAGCGTTGATCTGCTTGGAGGAACACGCAGTAAGCAGAGGTTTGACCCTGAGCAGATGTGGGGGAACGTGGTGATGGAGCGGGAATCTGCCAACTTGTTTCCGAGATGAAGACGGATTCCCTTTCCTTTTTTTTTTCCACGCTGTAAACTGGCGCTAATGAAGGCTGACTGTGCAGTGTTTTTTTTTTTTTTTCAGACATATGGAGAGTGCAAAAGTGTGGCTCATTAAAAAAAAAAAAAACTGTCAGTGGTGCCTTGCTGCTTCTGGCACCTTGAGCTGAAGTCCTTCTGCTGGGCTTGTTTATTCGGCCAGTAGATCACTACTACGAGTATTTTCTCTCCCCCACCTCGTCCCATATCACCTGGCACTCTTTACACTCATACGTGCATAACTCTATAGAAAACCCATCCATTTTCTTTCTCTCAACTCGTTTTCTGCAACTTCCTGCATTTGCTGTGTATCAGCACCGATCCTTTCTTGCCTTCTTGTAAGCTCTGTGCTTTCAGAGCGGGTCCATGGTGTCTACCCCATCACACATCCACAGCTGAGAGGTGTCTCCCCTCACAAAGCCCTGTTCTGCGAAATTGAGGGTTTAAAAGGGGAAGGGGGGGGGGGGGGGTGCAAGTTGTGTCAATGACTTAAGACCATGATTGATCTTCTGGATTCGACTGTGCTGGGACTGTCAGCTGTTGGGCATGGCTGCTTGGTGAAAATGTTATGGTTGGCCGTAACAATTCCCAGTATGCGTTCGGATTGGCCGCGATACAAGAATTCTTTTCTTGTATCGCGGCCAACCAAGAGTTGAGATAGATTTCAGGATTTGTAGTAAGTGTGGAATATTACTCGACATACATCTTGATAAAAAGAGACGGTTTCATTGCACCCACAAGTCTCAGCCATATTAGCTCCTCACATACACAGCTCTCTAGTTGTGTGAGTGGGAAATATTACAAAAGATCTATTTTTATAAACTTTTTTCACAGTACCCTTTCACAACAGGCTTCATAGCAAACAGCCGTTCTTGGCCCTCTTCAAACGCTGCACCCTGGTGGCTGTTCGACAGCAAAGTGGGAGTTGCATGGGCTAAAACCCGGTTGCTGCCAAGTCCCTTTTTCCACCAGTAAACACCCCCCCCCCTCCGTTTACCCTCTTTAGCTTCAGTGCCAGATCCGATAGGCATAAGCTATATTTCCAGCATTTGTTTTGACTCCTTGCCCTGACACTGTGGTCTCCTCCTGTGGTGCCTGTGCTGTGGACCTTGAGCTGCTCTCTGACTCCTGCAGAGTGGGCCTGTCTCGGGTCAGATATCAATAAGATCAGCCTGTTTTTCTAGTCCAAGGTTTAATTTATAGTGAGTCAAAACATTGAAAAGGTGTTTATTCGGTATTTAGTCAATGACGTGTCAACAACAAACATCTTGACCTCACATGTTCTTCACATATTCACAGTATGGGCTCCTTTGTCTCCTGCATTGCGGCACACTTTCTGCTTTTATTAAGGAAAAAACTTTGGCTTTAAAAGGAAAAGTAGGAAAAACTATTAGCTCTACTCTAGCTTTTATCCGCATTTCTTTAAACCTAATAAATGTTCCAATATGTTTCTACTTGTGTAACTCAGTCCTTCTTTTACTTTTCCTTGTTTCTGCAGATCACATGCTGACAACCAACGCTTGACACTCTCTCGCCAACAAAACAGATGCAAAGAAGAACTTGGCACAACTGTTAGAATGGCTGAAGCCGGACCCGAGCAGAACTGCTTTGTACAGAGAGATGATTCATGTTTACCTGCGACGGTGCAGCTCCAGGGCAGCTTTTAATGATGCCTCATTTTATCTTCTCGAATAACTCTCGGGCTACGCTAACAAAGGCCCTCTTTTGTGATTTACAACGCAGTCCGCCAATGTTTCCTTGCCTCTGACATCTCTGCTGCCATGGGGTTATCTCCATGAGGCTCCGAGAGCCCCTGCTTGTGTGTCTGTGAGGCCTCCTCCCCACTCTATGGAGGCTGAACACAGCCGACCGGCCGATGGGGAGTGCTCTGGAAGGCAGGAGCAGCAGCGCTTGACAACGGAATCCTCTCCAGGATCTTGTCCACCTCAGCAGCCTCCGCGCCCTTCTAATGCTCGCCCCGTGCACAGAGCTCTGGGTCGCGTGCAAAGTCGCCAAACCAAACAAACTGAGCATTTGCTTCGGTTACAGCAGCAGCAGGCAATAGCATGGCAGCATTCAGACACCCCGGGTCCCTCAGGAGGCAGCTTCTCTCCAGATTCCTCATCGACTACATCCCTCCCATCTACTTCCACCACCCGGGGTGAGCATGGCCATGGGGTCCCTTCCCAGGGCACCCAAGAGGGGCTGGAAGGGGTCAGCTCACCCAAAAAAGGGGAGAAGAAACCCCAAAAGCCAGGAAAATATGTGTGCACTTACTGTGGTCGCCCATGTGCCAAGCCAAGCGTTCTTCAGAAACATATTCGCTCCCACACGGGAGAAAGACCATACCCTTGTGCCCCCTGCGGCTTTTCCTTCAAGACCAAGAGTAACCTGTACAAGCACCGCAAGTCCCATGCCCATCGCATTAAAGCGGCCCTGTCTTCCAGTCGGGATGAGCCCAGTTTAAGTGGGCAAGAGGGAGGCGGTGTTGCAGAAGACCCTGAGGAACACACCGAGGGAGAAAGCACCGAATCTGAAGAAGAGACGGGCCAACACAGAAAATCCTCCTTGAAGGAGAAGTTGGCGCCGCAAAGGAAAGGTGGCAAGGAGCTGCTGAGAGGCTCAGAGGAGAGCCACAGGCCTGAAGACTCCCAGGCTGTCAAACAAAGGCTGGCACTGCGGCTCAGTGAAAGAAAACGTGGCGTGATGGCTTCTCCAGATGACCGTCCTTCCTCCCTCTCAACCTCATCTTCCTCTCAAGGCCCCGGCAGTAAGGGCAGCACAGAGTCTGGCTACTTCTCTGGGTCGGGCAGCACCGACCTATCCCAAGTTAGCCCCCCAAGTGCCAGTGCCAAAACCTACGCAGAAATTATTCTCGGGAAATATGGGCGGCTGGGAGGGCAACAGCGCCATCCCCATCAGCAGCAGCCTCATTCTTCACTTTCCTTCCCCTCGGGAACGGAGGAGAAAAGCATTCCCTTTGCCGTACCCAAAACCCAAGTCATAGAACACATTACCAAGCTCATCACTATCAATGAAGCGGTAGTAGACACCAGTGAGATTGACAGTGTGAAGCCGAGACGCTCCTCTCTAACCAGGAAGAGCAGCGCGGAGTCCCCAAAATTCAACTCCCTCAGAGATGCCTGCACATTTGATCCCAAAGGAGAATCCCCTGGCCCAAGTGCTTTTAAGCACCTCCACAATCCTGAGGCAGAACCAGCAGGTACCCAGCAGCTGTCAGCAGTGCCTCTGCTTAGAAGCCACTCGATGCCAACCTCCACCAGCCAAGGAGAGCCCTGCACCTCTGGTACCATGCGGCCCAGAGATTACCGTCTCTGCCAGTCATTCGATGAGCAGCAGGCCGTGGTGGCAGAGATGAGGGCTGGCCCTTCCCAGCGCACGCTACGGCGCCAGCCTGCCATAGAAGTTCCACTGGGAGCCGAACTAATGCAGGAGGAGGCCGGCTCCTCCTCCACAGCACTCGCTGATGAACAAGCTAGACGGACACTACTGCACCACCAACCGCACCAACAACAACAACAACAGCAGCAGCAGCAGAAGAGATTGAGCCTGTTTGAATGTGAAGCATGTCAGGCCCACTTCCAACACAATGAAGGCTATGAGGCCCACAGAGGCATATGCCCAGGACAGAAAACCCTGGGAAAAGAGCGCGGGGATGCAAGTAAAACATGCAGGGAGGATCGCCCGCAGATGATGCACTATAAGTTTCGAGCACTGGCAATGGCCGTTAGGAAGAGGAGGAAAGAGGAAAGTCTGGAAGAGGATCCTCCCAGCCCCGGATCTGTAGCCATGTCGGGGAGCCCTTCAGGCCTCGTTCCTCTGACTTGCAGAACAGAGCACAGCCACACCCTCTCAGGTTTGTTCACATATTGCTGCAGCGCCAGATCAAATTTATCTACAGAATTCTGTGTAAGCTAAATATTTCAGTCTTGCAATCCTGAAAATGAAAGGGAAAGACATTCATATCTGCAACTACATCATTTAATGCAAAGCAACAACCTCTTGTTTAACTGAAAAGCAGTATATTTGTATAGCATAACGGTTGCTTCTTCTTTATTTTTTTGTTTTTAGGTGTTCCTTTACAGAGTGAACAACCGCAGCAGCATCAGCAGGACAGGAAGGGAGTGTCTGTCATTCAACACACGAGCTCTTTTGAGAAGCAGGAGAGTATGTCCATGGAGAGTCGGGAAACCGAACTCAGAGAGAGTCAGCAAACACAACCACTCGAGCCAAAACCATCACCCTCTACATCTCGCCTCATCCGCCAATCAAACATCCAAGTGCCAGAGATCCTTGTAACTGTGGAGCCTGATGCTGACATGCCAACTGTCTCTGCGCCAGTGATGGCATCCTCATTCAAGGTACATCATTGTGCATTGGTCAATGTTTTGGAGCACTTTACACAATTTAATTGCCCTCCTTTTGTCAACTGAATTAGTTATTATTTTTATTAACTTCAAAAAATCCTAAAAATAAACGTGAGCTGTCCATATCCCCTAGTGACAATAGTAAAGTATTATTCTGTATTTTCTGTCCGTCACAGGAGGCAGAAAGAGTGGAGGAGTTCCAATGGCCTCAGCGTAGCCAGACTCTGGCTCAGCTCCCTGCCGAGAAGCTGCCACCAAAGAAGAAGAGACTCCGCCTGGTGGAAGCAGCACATTCCTCCGGCGAGTCTAGCTTTGAGTCCTCGTCTCTGCCCCACAGCCCCAGTCAAGAGAGCAACATCTCCCACGCTTCTAGCCTTGCTGCTTCTTTCGAGGACACGTCAAGATCAGAGTCCACCGCCTGGGCTTCCAGTAGCCAAAGCTCCCAGATGTTGATGGTGCCAGTTGCTTCCCACCATCACCACCAAAGCCAAAAGGAGATGAGGCGCTCAGCCTCAGAGCAGACCACAGCCACCGGCCAACCAACGGAGCAGGTCTCAGAGACCAGGAGTAAGTCCTTTGACTATGGCTCACTGTCCCCGCAGCAGTCTGCGTCCACCTGGGAAGAAAGGAGAAAGTGTCTCCTTGTGAAGCATGTCACCTTAGGCGAACCTGAGCAGGAGGAGGTGGCCAGCATGAGTCAGCTGTCCAGAGCAGACAGCCCAAAGCCGGGGCCGTCACGCTCCATCCATCCTCCCATCTACTCAACAGAAACAAGCAACCGCTTTAGGCTGGAAACCACCGGGAAAGCCTCGCAGCCGTTACAGCCGCAGATCTTCCTGCCCTCTCGGGATGTGCTCCCTTTGCAGCAAGCGTTTTTCCCAGGGTCATTAACCCAGCCAGTCCCCGTCACCACCGCCACCCCTGAAGTACTGCCCACCCAAATCATGCACAGAGCCTTCTTACATTCACAGACAGCACCCCCACCTATGCACACGCACCCTGGTCAGATCCGCGTGGCAGAACGGTTGGGTGTACCACTCCATCAGTTTCCTGCTCTGCTTCCTCTCCAGTTCTCTCTGAGGACCTCAGCTAGTCACGCTCTGTACTTACCGTTACCTCCGAGACAAGCTGCACACGTTCCTTCCCTTCCCACACCAGAGAGACGCCCCTCCACGTCTTCTGTTCTCACACATCAATCCTTTGTAAGAATCTCTCACCACCACCCACGACCCGTCATCGCCACATGCGTGGCTCAGTTCACACCGGTGTCGTCACTTGTGGTGCCAGTGCGCCTCCAGACTCATTTACCTACCTATGCCAGTGCCATGTACACCACCTTATCCCAGATCCTGGCCTCCTCCTGCTCACAGGAACCTCTTTCTTGTACAGCCATGGTCATTATGGGCCAGGTGGAGCGGAACAAGATTGAAAGGTCCTACCTGAAGGTCCCCTCCCCAGACGTGGAGAGCCTTCTTCCCCTTTCTCTGCCGACGGAGCTGGCCTCGGGATCTGGGGAGGGGTACGGTCCACTGGGGGCCGGAGGAAGCAAACGCATGCTTTCTCCTGCAGCTAGTCTGGAGCTCAGCACAGAGGCTCAGCGTCACCAGAAACGGGTAAAAGAGGAAAAAGAAGGGGAGGTAGATGAGGAGGAGGAGGAGGAGGAGGAGAATGTCGACCAGAAGGTGGGACAGATTGAAGAAAGTGAAGCCACTGAGAGAAAACTGGAACAGAGTGAGAAGAAACACTCACAGAGGGTGGAGCTGACAACTGTGAAAGAGGGGGAGCATGAGCAACTACCAAGGAAATATAAGAAGAAGAAGGAGGAGCAGAAGGAGGCCGAGTATGCTGAAAAGACAAGTAAAATAAAAGAGGAGGCGGCAGTTGTGCGACAGGGAGCTGAAAAACCGGTGGCGCCTTCGTACCCCAGCCTCCGCACCTCCACCTCAGTTAACTGGTGCTACCTAAACTACGTCAAAGCTAACCCGTCTCCCCTGAGGGACCCCCGCAGCTCCGTTTATTCTACCTGGAGCATTAGTGCTCACAACCCCAACCTGCCGGGCCTCACCACTAAGGTGGCCTTGTCTCTGCTGTGCTCCAAACAGAAGCACAGCTCAGAAACATACACCACGGCAACGGCCGCGGCCCCCCCGGCCAAAAGCAAATTGGCCCCTGCTAGCAGCGGGACCCCGCGGGTGTCAGAGGTAAATATAATCACAATAAACACTTGCTTACATTAAACACCCGTGGGAATTATTTCAATCAATTTTTACTTTAAACGGTGTGTTTAAAGGTTCGGGGAGAGCAACACAAACTTGGGGGAATACTGTTTCAATAAAAAGTTAACATTTTATTTTAAGTCGTCTTCAATTTTTCTATGTGTGTCTTGAGTGTAGGTACACGCCACCCCACCCGGCACCTTCACTAAAGTAAAGGATCAGCAAAAACCTGACGAGGAAGAGAAAAAAGAGATGAGCGAGGAGGAGGAACCCTCCACCTCCAAGCAGAGCGAGCCATCACGCGTTCGCATCTTTGAAGGCGGGTAAGAACTTCAACAGCGAGACTGTTGCACGTCGAGAAATGCACATGGTTTGATTATCATTTACGAATGATTGCGGTGTCTCATTTACGCAAGTAACCCGGGTTCCTCCCTCACAAACCAACATGACTGTTCAGCGACTCTGGTGAGACAAGTGGAGAACAGCAGTGACAGATGGGAGGTAGTGGAACCCGCAGGGACTTCATTTGTACTTGCAGCCAAGCTTTTTTGTTTTACTGCTGGCGAGGAAGTCTGTGTTTTAGAAATGTTATTTTGGAGAGATGACAGTACTTTTTGTGTAGGTGTGTGTGCGCTTGTGTGCACTTGTGTTGTGTAATGGGGAAAAGGTTGCCTCCAACTTCACTTTGAGACACTCATTAATACCGTTTTTATGGTTTCATAAGTGACTTTGAAGAAGCAGAGGAAAAGAAAAAGCAATCTCTAAGAGATCATTATCATTGGTGAGATTGTCATGTTTGTGTTTAACTATTTTGCATTTATTTCTACGCTGTAGATTCACTTATTCACATATTTTAGCTGTGCAGAAATGTGAGGAATGATGGATTTTTTCTCCACAGTGCAGCCTCTGTTCTTTCCCAAGTTGACAGTGTTACAGGAAGAGAACCAAGTTTCCCCAGATTGTTGACATTGAAGGATAGTAGAACTAAAAAGCGTTGATATAATAAAAGCGACAGCAGTTAAAGGATGCTGTTTGGACCGGGGTAAACGTTTCAGCACACACTGTTCGCCTTTTCAGGGGAACAGAAATAATGAGAAAGATATTATGGGTTATGGGAAAAAATTGGAAAATCAATAGAATCGGTGGGACTTATATATGTTTGTGTACGTGTGTTCCTGCCAAATCAGCACATTTTGTGTTACGTGTTGATGTGCACACAGATTGATTTTGAAGGAGTAGTTTTTTTAACAGATGAGGCATTAATTACCAATCTTTATCATTTGTAGCCACACATTCATTTTCATATGTTAACAGCTTACTTCCTTCATTGCATCCTCTGTTTCCATCAAACCAAGCCTCCTGCTTCTGTTCATGTTGCCAGAGTCACTCTAGCAGCTCTTCCAGGTTTACCTACCTATTGTATTACCCTCTTCATTCCTTACCAACATCCTCTCCTCTCTCTGTGTACTTGTAACTCTTAATACTTAATATTTTCTCTGTGCATAAAAATAAGCACAGCCTGTATATAAATGTGCATTTCCATCTTTGTTTATGTTCTGATCCCTTTAAAAAAAAGGGGTGCAGGAGAGAGTTTATTAGTGTCACACAGCTAAAGAAGCGAAATGGATCCCGGCAGCTTTCACTCTTAGTAAGAGTGTTGTAGCAACTAAGCAAGCGTAGCTGCTTCTTCTTGGTTGCAGTGAAATTCAGTGGGATATCAGCTTTAATCCATTTTAGTGAGCATTAGCTGAATTATGTCCCTCTGGATTCTATTAAAACCGAATGCTGATTCATTTGCATGGTGACATTGCAGTTTTGTCATGAAACGTTAGCCACGGTGGAGAAATGAGCATATCCACTCCTGTGAGCAGAGCTTTCAGTATGTGTCAAAAGGATTTGTGGTTTAAGTATGTTTCAGTGCTCATACATTACACCCTTTTACTTTAATATATAATATAGTTGTCGTTGCTTTGAAATCCAATGGCCTCGACAGTCAAGCACTAGCTGGTTGAAAGCGATGCTCTCTCCACCAATCGGCCACGGCGGCTGTGAAGTTCCTGCACAAGCAGCGGGAGATTGTCGGTTGAGTTTACAGAGACTTGCCTTTTATTTAATGCTCCACGTGTGAAGTGCAATTTATGCCTTGTTTTTCCACCAATGTGGGTGGATGTTTATCGGAATGGCAATAAATAAATTCCAGTAAACAGTAGCCAGTACCTGAATAAACGCTACAAGATGCCCACTGCGACACTGCAACAAGATTCCAGTTGTGTAATCATGATTTAATTCTGTTTACAACACAGAACATTTACCCTGCTGATTGTTGTTGATTCTTGTGGTGGATATCCTTTATTTAAACACAGTCCACAGACATTGGATGTTAACAACTCATAATCGACAATTCATTCAGATGTCAACTGTCTCCACAAGTGGCTTTTTGGGTAAACACGCAGAGGGCGTATAAACAATTATTTTACACACTAAACCTGAATGAGTTGATTTTTTTATATATATACAGTGTCTATTTCAGGGTGTTGACCATGGCCAGGCTTCCCTTCCCTCTTTTTAGCTCGCTGCTGTTGTGTTTGGCAGGGCCGCACAATCGCAGCAGAATAGCTGGTATTCTCTGTGCGCCGAGGGGGTTGTGCAGCAAAGGGACTGGGTGCTGACCTTGTACACATCCACTTTCATCTTTATTATGAAGGCTGCCGTAACCATTGTGACACATGACACATGAAAAATCATCATGGGTGCAAATTAATTTAATTGGATATACATTTCACAACAGAGGCTCATGGAACAATGCTTTCATTTGTGCGTTCTGTGCTAAATCATTTCTCTCTCTCTCTCTCTCTCTCTCTCTCTCTCTCTCTCTACCTCTCGCAGGTATAAGTCAAATGAAGAATATGTTTATGTGAGAGGTCGCGGCCGGGGGAAGTACATTTGTGGAGAGTGTGGCATCCGCTGCAAGAAGCCTAGCATGCTGAAAAAGCACATCCGAACGCACACCGATGCCCGGCCGCACATTTGCAAACACTGCAACTTTGCCTTCAAAACCAAAGGTACAGGGCAATTTACTCTTTTCTTCTATATTAGCCATTGAGTTGACTCTGCCTCTGTTGTTGCAATATTGCAATTTTATTTGCCTGGTTTTAGTTGTGGGGGGATTTGAATGTGGTTTTCTCGTTACTCCCTAGGTAACCTTACTAAACACATGAAGTCAAAGGCTCATGGGAAAAAATGCCAGGCAATGGGAGTATCTGAGTCATCGCTGGAGGAGCCCGAGAGCGAGGAAACAGGTACTTAAGGGGGGATGGGGAGGCATCTCACATATTTCATATCCGCAGTAGAGAATTATTGGTACGCAGCTTCTGCCTCTGAAGAACCGTTGCTGCTTACGCAACACCAACGTCTATTCTCCTGCTTTTGGTCTTCTATGAGAAATAGAAAAAGGTATCTGATAGATTGATGAGCAATGTTCCACAGTTTCCCAGTGTGGCCGCTGCATTCCGGCAAGTATACATTGTTTTGGTGTGTGACAAGCGCATTCCAACACATGTCTGCCTCAAAGCCAGCCGCCTCACGATCTCCCCCCAAACCCTCCTCTACCACCCCACCCCTTACAGACTACTCATCCCAGCCAAGGACGTGCCATTTAAACCGTCTTTGTACTCACAAGGCCGTTGAGATAGTTTGTGAATAGAGGCATAGTTCTATTCAATTATATTCTGGTTCCCTTTTCATCCTCGGTCTATTTATAACACGAGTTTGGCGAGTGGTGGGTGAGGAAAAGACACATTATGCTGTCCTATTCTTTGTGCTTGTTCTCAAAAATTGTTTAAGGTTTAAAGTGAGGATTTTCTATAACATAAACGGACGTAAACGGATCTCATTGAAGGATGCGCTTGTTTGTTTTTGCCCCGCAAACAGCAGGAAGTGATGAACGCGTGTTTGGCGCAGAGGAACAGGAGGGACATCAGTTTTCTGACGTGGACAATTCCGAGGACGACGATGACAACGATGAGGACGAGGACGAGGAAGAGGAAGAGGAGCCCGCCTCCCGCGAGGATCCGTCCTCCTGTTCCACAGACACACACCCCTTGGCAGGAGGGCATTCCAGCTGCGGTAGGCGTTCCCATCGAGGCACCCCGGACCCTGAGCCCCCGGGCCTCAGTCCCAGCAAAGCACAAGAGCTCTCGCCGAGGCGGGTTTGGCCCAACAGACGAGCCGCTTCGCCGGGCAGCAGGAGAGCGCTGTTCTCTCGGCGGGGGTGGAAGGCATCGCCGAGGGCCTTCTCCCCCAACAGTTCCCCCAGCCGAAGCCTCTCTCCCCAGCTTGAGCTGTCCTCACCCAGCCACAGCCTCTCCCCCAGGACAGAGCTGTCCATGTCCAGCCGACACGTCTCACCCTCCCCTGAGAGAGGACCATCTCCCGTCAGACCCCTCTCGCCTCTCCGTACCATTTCGCCCAGCTGCTATCGGTCGTCCCGGGCTTGGACCCCTCCCTCGCCTCTTGGGCTACAGCACAGGACCCCTGGATACCTGCCATGGGAGAGCCCCGGTGCAACGGGTACTCATGTCAAACTAGTGAGTGTTTTTTCTTACAGATTTGTGCATGGAAATTGCACTCCGCCCGTTTACCGGCAAAGCAAGTCAAGGAAACGTAACGATGAAGTCTTTGCTCCCTCTGCAGGTGAAAAGGAGAACGGCGGCAGAGGGTCCACAAATGGCAGAAGCCAGCATGTTTCCACCCGCTTTCCGTCTTGCCGTTGGTGAGGGTTATCCGGGCTACCAAGCAGCAGACAACATCTTCAGCCATCTTCCCATGCATTCCCAACAAGCCAAGGTGCCCTATCTGATGATTCCTATCGGAGGGATCCAGATGGTACAAGCCGGTCTGAGGTCCCACCCTACCACACCCTCGTCTCCAACCTCTCCCCCCGTGGAAGGGCCATCACTGACCAGATTTGACTCGTACTGGGGCGGGACCCCCAGGACTCAGGGGCTTAGAACTCCTGGAGACCACTGGTCAGAGGACCAGATAGCTGGAACCAGCCAGTCGAGGCAATTTGTTCCCATTACAGCACTAAAGTTGGAGACCATCGAGTCCAAGCAATATGGCAGCTCACATAGCTCCGCCCACACCTGCAGGCCGCTTACCGAGACCACCAAACACTGCCTCAGAGACAGTGCAAGAGCAGTTCTCAGTCCAGCAGCCCCAGTAGCCTCGCATGTCATTGGACAGCATCCAGAGAGGGATGAGCAACCATCTGGTGGTGATCGGGTGGAGGGAGGAGCTAAAGGAGACGGAGCAGACCAGAGCACTTAGCAGTGTCTACACCTTGATGCATAATGCATCCCATTTTGCTTTATTGGTTGCTACACTAGTCTTGTTTTTTTTTTTATTGCTCCGTTTTTATACAGTTTTCAATACTATTGTTAACTTAAATGTTTGTTCTTTGGCAATATTCAGGTTTGTTATAAAAATGCACTTTTTTTCTTATAAATATACATATTCTGTATGTATGTATGTATGTATGTATGTATGAATATATATATATATATATATACAAATATATATATATTCAGTGTATATATATATATATATATATATCTTAATGCCTGTTTAAATATATGTAAAATGAATATGAATACATTTGTAAATGACCAAAATCTTGGATCAAAAATTATTATTACTCTAATTACAGTTACTTGTGCCTTTTCTGTCCAGGATCGTGTTTCGGGGTGTACAGATAGACAAAGAAAAGGCTGTTGGATTCGATATCTGTTTATATGTGTTCAAGGGGATTGATGTATGGTGATTTGATTGTTTCTGTTCCAAAGGCCATTGATTTAATGCACCTGAAGCGTGTCAAAAGAAAATGCACTGAAGTTCTATATTTTATCACAAAATATCTATCTCTGTACAGGGGAGATTGCTCCGTATTTATTATTTGATGACAATGATGATTATTTCTTTCCTTTTTTTAACTTTCTTAATTGGAAAAATTATTTTTTTTTGTTACATCTGTGTGTCTTCATCATGAGGTTCATGTGACTTAGTGGTGACAAAGATGAGCGCTCGCGCTTGGCTGGTACCAGAGGATTAAGTGCCCGGCAGATTTCACACACAGCAAAATTTCTAGTCATTGAAGAAATAAAAATTGCACCAGACTCCCTTGAAATTGTGCTGTTTTTCCATTTCACCACATGTACGGTATCATACTTAAACTTATATAGAGTTTGTATAGAGGATGAACCACTACAATATTGACGGATGTCCTAATTTTATTGAACATATTTGATTAGACTTCCGCTAAAGGTCAAAAGGGCGATGGCGCCTTTTGCATGTCTGCGTTCAGGCGCCTGATGTTTTGTAGTCCACTGGAGTTCCACTTCCTCGTAGTTTGTTTTGATCGGCTTTTCACCAACTCTCCTCACGTTTCAGGCCGCTTTCCCAGGCAACGCAACCCAATGATTTTCTCACCTGCGGCACTTTCTCTCATTAGTGCCTGAGTATTTTTACCAGCCCTCGTTGCCTTGGTTACTGCCGGATTGTCTGTTTGTTCCCACCAAACTCTCCAGCCTTTCTGAGCCAATGTTATCCGAGCTGCTCGTTCTTGCTCTGGCCTGTTGCTTGGATCTGAGAAATTCTACCTGCGCCTTTAGGATTTGATACGCTGAGTGACTTGGTTTTGACCTTTCCTGAAGTGAACTGAACTTTCCTTGCTTCTCTGAATGTCTAATTGTTTGGCTTTTGAGGTCAGGTCTACAATAGATTTATCTCGTCATTAATTCTCAAGTTGTAGCTTGCTGCGCTGTATTTTACGGCTCAGTTTGGTGTTCCGGTGATGGAGAGTGCTGTCTGACACGCTGGTCTAAAATCTCTGAGTTGAGTAGGGATGTGATTTAGTCACCGTTATTATGCTTCACATCCTATTTTTTTCTTTCTTACATTACTTATTCTATGAAACATTTGCACTTCTTTTATAATCAATATCATCTATAAGTATTAGGCTTTCTCCAGTGGGAGCAACAAGGCAGCTGTAAGCCTGTAGTGACACCACTAGATGTCCTCACTAAACACTCTACACTCCAGTGTCTGTTTGATGCAGCTCAAAATGTTAAATGTGACAATACACACAGGTTTAAGTTGTGATTTGTGAGGGCACATACACCCTTTAAAATTAATTCACCATATCAAGTCAAACAACATATCAAATGTGAATTCTTTGGGTTCCCTGAAAACTCCCATTTGTTATTACATGGAGACAAACCGTTATCACTTCCACAGGCTGATTTCGATGCCACAAAGTACAACCCCCTCGTCCTCCCCCCCATCATTCTCTGTCGTAACACATATTTAAAGCCCTCATGTTTGGCCTCTGCAGCTCTAATAATATAAAACAATATTCACAAACGCATGAATCCCCCCCACACCTCCCGCCGTGTTTTCCATTCACTCTCACAGATGCTTTGGACAACAACAACCTTCAACCGGCGTGTGTGTTGACGAGATGCCAGAAGAGGATTGCTGCTGTGACTTGACTTTCCATAAACACATTTTACGAGGAGAGGAGGAGCTGGTATTTATAGACACCTTTATCAAGTAGTTTGAAGTGGAGGACCATTCTTCCTCTTTAAAGCCTAGAGTGAGATCGTATGAAGTGAACTCAGGAGGAGTGGTTCATGAAAACAAACCCCTGCTTTTAGAAGACAAGCTGAATAAAAATAGCCTCTGACTGTCCCTTTTACTTGCTACCCATTTTTAGCAGAGTAAATAGCCTAATGAGATGAGATGCCTGTGGAGGGGGACACATCTGTGCTCCAGAGGGAGCTGAACTTATACCCTCTGATGCAAGAATGTGTAGCTATTGTGATCCACTGGGGTAATCTCATCACCATGTCAAACATTGCACAAATAGTCTTGCAGATTCGGTGTTAGATGTTAGTTCAATAATTACCAACTATTCTCCTGGGATGGTAGGATGTAGAAACAGACTGAGGAGATGTGTGAACTTAAGACTCAAATCAAAGTGTAAGAGCAACTGGGTGTGAAATTGTTTTGAAGGGATGACGCACAGCAGTATTGTTCAGCTACATAATTGATATGATTGTCCTTCCACTTCTTCTCTTCTCAATGTCCTGTTTGATCTTGCTTGCTTGGTCCTCTGCTCTGTTTTGCAGAATGTTTTCACATGTTTTTGTGCTCTGGACTTGCCCACTGCACAGAGGAAATGTACCGCCGGCTTCTCTTCTTTATGTACAGGTGTTCATGGAAACTGGATTAGAAGCCCCACTTTGCATAAAACAAAATGATACATGAATATGTATGAAACATACGAAAACATTTGTTTTTATCTGCTTATTTGGTACAAAACAATGGACTGAAATAAGCGATCACACGTGAGTCTTTAAATCTATTCTTCCCGAAAACACTGCCTGCTTCTCATACTTGTGTCATCACTGGAAGCTTCCAGTGTCCAAAAATTAGCAAAACACATATTGTTAGTGTTCTTCAGTCCATTTATGATTATTATTAGATTTTATGAGCTTATTGGCTGATTAAAGCAATGGGTGTTTGGGGGTTGTCTTGGATGACACGCCTCTTCAACATTGCTTGGAAGTCTGGGACAGTGCCAAAAGAGTGGCAGACCGGGGTGGTGGTACCCCTCTTCAAAAAGGGGGACCAGAGAGTGTGTGCCAATTACAGGGGTATCACACATACTCAGCCTCCCGGGTAAAGTCTACTCTAAGGTGCTGGAAAGGAGGGTTCGGCCGATAGTCGAACCAAGGATTGAAGAGGAACAATGCGGTTTTCGTACTGGTCGTGGAACAACGGACCAGCTCTTCACTCTTTCCAGGATCATAGAGGGGGCTTGGGAGTATGCTCATCCAGTCTACATGTGTTTTGTGGACTTGGAGAAGGCGTATGACCGGGTCCCCAGAGAGAAACTGTGGGAGGTGCTGCGGGAGTACGGGGTGAGGGGGTCCTTGCTTGGGTCCATCCAATCCTTGTACGCCCAAAGCGAGAGCTGTGTTCGGGTGCTCGGCAGTAAGTCGAAGGCGTTTCCGGTGGGGGTTGGCCTTCGCCAGGGCTGCGCCTTGTCACCAATCGTGTTTGTGGTTTTCATGGACAGGATATCGAGGCGTAGTCGGGGGGAGGAGGGTCTACAGTTCGGGGGGCTGCGGATCTCATCGCTGCTTTTTGCAGATGATGTGGTCCTGATGGCATCTTCCGTCTGTGACCTCCAACTCTCACTGGAGCGTTTCGCAGTCGATTGTGAATGGCGTGCGTCTCCCTTAGGGATAGGGTGAGAAGCGCAGCCATTCGCGAGGAGCTCGGAGTAGAGCCGCTGCTCCTTTGCGTCGAAAGGAGCCAGTTGAGGTGGTTTGGGCATCTGGTGAGGATGCCCCCTGGGCGCCTCCCTAGGGAGGTGTTCCAGGCACGGCCAGCTGGGAAGAGGCCCCGGGGAAGACCCAGGACTAGGTGGAGAAATTATATATCTGCACTGGCCTGGGAACGCCTTGGGATCCCCCAGTCAGAGCTGGTAGATGTGGCCCGGGAAAGGGAAGTTTGGGGTCCCCTGCTGGAGCTGTTGCCCCCGCGACCCGACCCCGGATAAGCGGTTAAAATGGATGGATGGATAGATTGGCTAATTAGTGTGGCACACTTAGGACACAATTCGCTGTCTTTTAGCTCTATTTTCAATCTACACCAACTTTTGAGGGAAAATATCTCTGTTGAAGAAAACTCCACCTTCCTTATACAATTATACTATAATTGAAGACAAAAAACTGCTTTGGGTAAACCCAATTTACAATGTTGACATTGCATTCAAGCATATCGATGCATCTCCGGCCTTGTCTCTTTGCACGTGTATCAAGAGCATATTCATATCTGGATGCATATCTCCACTTTATCAGATAAGGTAACAAACCCTTCAGCATTCCCAATGTCTTTCATCCCCTTAAAGATCATTCACAGCAAGGTCAAAGACATTAATCTTCATTCGCAGGCCAACTGCAGACATGCATGTCGCTCAGAGGGACAACAAAGAATTGCATATTCCTGGAATGTGTTACAGGTTGAAACACCCTGAGGGTCGGACGCTGTGCTTCCATTGCAAGTGGCCATGGGTGGAGCTTTTGTCATGACATCATGGGAGGGAGGGCAGAGACGTATGAGAGTGACCGAGCTCAGACACCTGCAGACCGACGGCAGCAGCACATCACAAACACAGTTGTGTCTAGATGGATAACAGTCTTACTGCAGCGCTTCATCCATGTGCTATCAACCATGTGTGCCCATGCCAGCGTTCTACTTCTCATCAGTCTTTGGGCTTCCGTGGAGAAAGGTGAGTTCATTTAAACAACCTTTTTTTTTAAATTGTTACTACATTGTGACGTACAAATTGTAATAGATCCCTGTAATAGAAGTACAAGAGTAGTAATAAGAGGAGCCGGGTAGTTCAAGCAAGTTTGCACAGTGGTGAGAATCGAGAGTGATTCATTTGTGAAGAATAATGGATGAGCTTTGTGTTGTTCCAACTTGTGAATTCTATGCATAACATCTATTAGATGTTTTGAGAAACTGTAGTTATTTAAAAGGAGTAGTTGATGCTGCGTTTGAGTCACTGGTACTGAACAGCTTTTTGTCCTCCATGAGGTCTGGGTCTTCCGGTCATGAGACAGCTGACCGGTGATGGCGTCCAGACACAGAGAGTGAGGACAAAGCGCTGCGCCTGCAGCAGCCTGCTGGACTCTGAGTGCCACTATTTCTGCCACCTGGATATCATCTGGGTCAACTCGGCCAGGTGAGCATCAGAGGACGCTCTGCATTGGGACACACTCACATGGCCGCTGTCCTCACTTTCAGCCTGAACACGTGCAATTATTGCCATTGTGGAATCAACTAGGGGGGTCGTGCAAAGAGCAAAGTCCCCAGAATGTTTATATGGTGAACACGATAAGTATCTCTCTGTCTCTGCAGTACGACAACAGTTTTCGGTCTAGGCAGCGCTCCGTCACGACGCAGAAGGTCCGTTGGCCGCTGCACCTGTGCCAACCTTGATGATCACAGCTGTATCGTCTTCTGCCATCACCGAGCCGAGCACCCCAATCAGCGGTCAAGCATCCATCGTAGGTCCTTGTCATCTGTGTGGCCTCCTTGAGTGGTTAGCAAAAGCATGTATCATGGCCCCCTGTGGAGGAGTGGAGGGTAAGGAGTCAGTTATGCTAATATGGAATTAAATATGTTATTATTGTGTTCCGTAATTTTAGTTTGTTGGAAGGTCCGGTCATCAAAACAGCAAAGCCGAGGCCTCGGGGAGTAGAATGAGCCCACGCTGGGAAAGTTTGGAAGCAAAAAATATGTCAAGAATGGACTTTGCCAAAAAAAGTGACCACCTAGAGACAGTGTGGACTGAGTAAAAAGCCAAGACGGCAAGGCCTCTCCATTTGAACTGTGAAAACATTTAGTCAGTCCCTAAAGATGTGACTTTGGTTTCTGAGAGGGTAAAAAAAGAAAGGTTGTTGCATTCGTCTATTGAAGCGGAGTGTTCTTTAACCACTGCAACATTGAACAGAACAAACTGCAATGTTGGGTTTAAATGTCAAGGGAACAAATCACTTTTAGTTTGTGTTTTCTAACCTGAGATCTGTCAAGTCCACTCAACAACATACTCATTTTGAACGTATTTCTGATCATGTGACTTTTTCTTGCGAATGCTTCACTCGTCAGACAGAGATGAGTCCTCCCATAAGAATAGTGCTCGATGAACAAGTGAACAAATGACGCTCATTTGCACAAGGCTGCTGGTGTCAGGCCTGAAGTGCCACAAAGATGTGTGTTTGTACCTGCGGATGGAGGATGGAAAACACGACGGAGTTCTGCAAACATGCAATGTAAACCGATGTGGAGGATTGCCAGGGAGTCAGTTATTCAGCTATTATGTTATGTAATAATGATACGAGAGAGCTGTGGCTGTGGTCCTTTTGGAACGTGGCCGTTGTCTTTATTAAAGTGTAAATCAATTGTATTAAAACCAAGTCTTTATCTTTGTATTTGTCCGTAGTGTTTAATGTAAAGACGGAAAAGCTCAAATTGACACCTGTTGACCTGTGGTCTTTTTTTAATTTATGGCCTTGTGTTTGCTTTGGAAAAGCGGACTGTGTAAATAAGCTTGTGAGAGATAATTTGAAGTAAAATAAAGCCTCTCAGATGGCATCTGTGATTCAATGTGAAAGATTCAGATTCAGTGCGAAAAGGCAAAACACATTTCTGAGTTCAAACAGAGTCCGAGACGGATGAATGGTCGAGGAATACGAGGCTCACATTAATAACAAGTTGTCCTGCTACTCAAAGCGTCGCAGCCTGTGTTTTCAGAAGGGTCTGTGGATAGAATGCAGTGTTTTCTAACTAACGGAACAACATGTCAAATGTTCCTTTATGGCCGCGCTGTACATTACGTCTATACCTTCATATGCAAGAAGAGGAGACAAAGTTTTGAGTGGAGAAGATTTTCCTGCTGTGCCGCAGTTCATTTCATTCCTGTCATACTTCTCAGAGTCTTTGCTGAGGAGCCCGCCGGCATGTTTTGCAAACAGGCCTGAGCACAACCGCAGCCTATTTTATAGCTTATTCTTGTCTCCACGCTAGTCTTTCCATTTCTTCCTCTTTACTGCTGTACTATTTGGGTTCAAATAGTTCCGTCCTACACATTGAAAGAGTGAAGATAGTTAACATTCAAGTTGGTGCAAAAAAATTGAGTAGAAAAATGACAAGTCTGATCTGAAGTTAGTCACTGAAAACGCCGTGGGCCCATTGAGGGGGTTTACGACGCTGTGGTTTATTTTAAATTGGGGCATTTCTGCCAACAGCAACAATAAACATCTGTTGTGAATTTATGAAGAAGTTAAGATCGTATGAGGAACACACTTGTTGAGAAACCACAGGCTGCTTTTCTAGAGGAACTCTGTCCATGGTGCTGGAGTAAGAGTGTCTCTCACGACCCACTTCAATGATGACAACATACGTACATGAAAATCAGACTTTTACCACTGTGACAAGTCTGAATTTAATGTCAAAACGATAAATCATTTAAATGATACATTATTATACAAAATAGTCTCAGTGTCCCTACAAAGTAGTGGTCGACCGATGATCTTTAGACTCGTGGCAGATTAATGCTCTTCTGTTTCGGTATCCTCAATTCCATGTATATTCACGTTGTCAGCATCATTCAGTTGAATTGCACTGTAGTCTGTAAATAACTCATATGTAGTACAAGTACTGACCCCTGTGGTGTATTTAGCTTAAAATATTCACACACATTAGATGCAACCAATAAAGATTCAGTAAACAGTCCTTAAATGCTTTGGTAGGCTTTGTCATTATTGTGGGTCACAGCCAACAAGCACTGATTGCGATTGGTAACACTGTGTTTCCTCTCTTACAGCAATATGTATGATGAATCTTAAGGAAAATGGTACTAAGGAGTTTAAATAATGGCTTTAAATTCACAGAGGCAAGGAGTCCTCTTTTCACCATGAGTCACAGATCAGCTGAGCATTTATGACTGTTTGTTATGGGGAACGAGACTCACTCCATCAAGCTTCACATACGCTCATTTATCAACAAGTCAGCAAATGAGTTAAACAATCCTGATGTAGCCAGTGGTCAAATATTCCACAGCTGTTATCCAAGAATGTGCAGTAGAGCAACAGCCCAGCATCTCAGTCCTCCCCAACACACACACACGCACACACACATACAAACTGAATGCACACATGCACACAGCTGTTACTTCAACAATGCTGCACTCAATCATACAAAGTAAAAAGGGACCCTACGGCCAGAAACATAAAACAACCCTTGGAGCGGAACAAGTGTGTCTTTTACCCTCTGCTGTGCATTGCAGAGATTCTTTACCGCCAGGGCACTATATCATGTTCCATTGGGATCAGACAGCTGTCTGCTTTGTTCGTGTCGACTTCCGAACAAACTTCACCCATGCAGGAACAATCCCCACAGCCCCCACTGTGCAGCAAAACACAGTGCAGAGGCTCACTTTGCTCGGGTCATCGCTGTGGGCCAATTGGATGGAAAGTGCTTCATTTATTGATTTATGGTTAGTTTATCTGTGATGTCAGGTTCACTCAGAGATACCAGATGCCACCAATGTAAATTGATCAAATACAAATTATTATTGACAGTGTAAAACACTACTTTCATTCAACCAGATGACTTTAGTGTGGATGAACTTTATTGTTATAAACACACATGCATACACATACACACAGACATATATCTGAGTTAACATTCCAGTAATTTCAGAATGTATTTAGTTGGCTTTTAATGAATAGTATTCAATATGTGTATTTCTTGTTAGTATTCCAAGTAATCTGAATTGAATTGAATTAAACATGTTAAGTCACACAAAGGAACACAGAGACATGAACTATTACTACATGAAGATTGAACTACAGATAAATAATGTAATGTAAAAATATAAATGTTGACTTCAACATGCTGTATAAACACTGTGTATATACAGTATATACATGACTGCATGTACATGCAGTGTCACGCTGTGGGTGAATTGCACCGCTACGCGCTGTTGTTTGTGACGTATTCTTGGAGCTACATGAAGGGAGGAGCGTGTTACCGCTGTAGTTGGCCAGCAGATGGCCTCTGGCTTCTAGAAACTCGGTCTATAACACATCTCTAATGCTCACAAACGTTTCGTGTTGATGTTGGGGAACATTTGACAGGCACATTTGTCCTCATCACCTGAGGACATCACCTTATTTATTACATGCTGTTTTGATTTACGGATTTAGGAAAGTGTCATTTATGTTTATAGGTACTAAATGTTTCGAAAATACAATAGAAGAGCATACTGTTTGATTTGTTTTGGTTTTCCCCCGATACAACAATCCGTAGCATTTACCAATGGTGCTTGATGCTCTAACTATCTGAATGCAAGACTTTTAATGGACTAGCTTGTATATTAGGTGTTGCTATTGTCGTTGGAGCAAAACTTTTCCTACAAAAATTGTATTGTGGCTTCATAAATGGAAAAACATCACAGCCTTTGTCGGCCCGTTTAGGAAGCTGAGGAAGAGTTCATATGTCTTCATCATGTCAGTGTAATCTACAGCAGTGGTTCTCAAATGGAGGTACGTGTACCCAAATGGGGGACCATGAAGGCACTCTAGAGGGTATTTCTTTTTAAAACCAATTTTAAATTAACATTCAAAAATCCTTTTAAAAATAGTTATTTGATAAATAAATAATAAGCTTAAGTTCACAACTTTTTAAAAATGTAATACACTATTCAATTTAATTATCCTAAAAACCCAGTATCTCTGGCTGTCACTTTATAAACTCTAGTTGCGCTGTGTTTTTCTCATTTGATCAAAGTGTAGCTAATGTTGTGCAGTGGATTATAACTGAAGTAGTGGAAGCAGACACTATTATTATTTTTTTAATCCTAAAGGGATGGGATGAGTGATCATCATGTTGAATATAACGGACTGCTCCTCCTCCTCCTCCCGTCCCTCCCCACCCCAGATCAATGCAATGCCTGGTGGGTACTGGAGTCTTCCCAGCACGGAGAGGAGCCGCGTTCCCGACGCTCACAATGGAGCCACAGCTTCCACCGAGGACTACCGGTACCGAGATGCCCGGCTCGCGATGCTTTCCGGCTGGTGCGTAAAGTGTTTTGGACCCGGCGCTGGAAGAGGGGGGAAGTGTGAGAGGTGAGGAAATGACCGGGCTGCTATTTTTTTTAAATCGCCTGTGACTGATTCCAAAGGAGCAAGTGATGGAGGGTGAGTCGGGAGAGGAGTGTTTGGTTTGTGACGTCACGGGGGGGAGCAAATTACACCACTGACTGCGTTCTGGAGGGAAGATTTCTCCGCAGACAAAAACAAAAAAAGCCTAAGTTGCGATCCAACTTGGTCCACTCGAAACAAGCCGGCATGACGAGTAAGATCGACGTTTGCAGGGTATCTTGGTTATCTTGCAAATTGTTCGAAGGTTTTTGTGAAATATCTGCTGCCGTTTCCACTGAAACTCCATTTTCCACCCATCTCCGCACAGGCGTCCGTGCACAACAAAGGATGCGTGAGATCTCCGGGATGTAGATGATGTCCGTGGATGTTTGTTGGATGCACCCTGAGAGGTTTGTGTGGCCGTGTTTTGTCTTCACGCCTTGTGATGTTGTGCAGAGGACGCGTGCGGGCCTCTGGGAACGCTCTCCGTCGCGTGTGTTATTTGCTCTGCAGCCATCAGACAGGGGATGCTGTGGGAAATCGGAGTGGTCACTTTTCAAAAGTGGTCACTTTTCAAATCAAAGCACTTTGAGTTGTAGTAGGGTTTTTTCCCGTTAGCTGGATTGCAATATACTTTTAAAGATAGAAACAGCGTGCTTG